TATAGATATAGATATAGATATAGATATAGATATAGATATAGATATAGATATAGATATAGATATAGATATAGATAGATATAATATATATCACTAGTATCACATGCAAGGAAAATCCTGCTGAAGATCATCCAGAAATGACTGGAATAGTACAGAGAACTACCAGAAATACAAGTCAGGCTTAGAAGAGGCCATGCCACTAGGGACATCATAGCTAATGGTTCTTGGCCAAAACCCAAGAATATCAGAGGAATGACTATCTGTGTTTCATTGATTATGTAAAGGCATTTTGACTACGTGGATCACATCAAATTGTGGCTAACCTTGAGAAGAATGGGAATCCCAAAACACCTGATTGTGCTCATGTGAGACTTATATTTACTTGGACCAGGAGGCAGGCATCAGAACAGAGCAGGGAAACATTGCATGGTTCAAAATCAGGAAAGGAGTATGTCAGGGATGTGTCCTATCTCCATACTCTTTCAATCTATACACAGGACAGACCATTCAGGAGGCTGGGCTTTATGAGGAGGAACATGGCATCAGAATTGGAGAAAGACTCCTCAGTGACCTACATTATGAAGCTGACACAACTTTTGCTTGCTGAAACTGAGGAGGGCCTGAAGCATTTGCTGCATAGGGTAAGGACTGTAGTCTGCAATATGGATTGAAGCTCAACATCAAGAATGAAAATTCTCACCACTGGACCAATTGTTAGCATCATGACAGATGGAGAAGAAACTGAGATTGTTAACAACTTCAGCTTGCTTGGTTCCACAATCAACACTCATGGCACCAGCAGTCAGGAAATCAAAAGACAAATTGCACTGGAGAAGTCTGCTGTCAGGGACTTCTTCAGAATGCTTAAGAGTGATGATGTCAGACTAGAGACTGAGGTGTGCCTGATCCAGACCATGGTCTTTTCAGTTACTTGCTATATATCAGAGAGCTGAATGATAACAGAAGAATTGATGCCTTTGAGTTGTGGTCCTGGAGAAGAGTACTGAACATACCATGGACAGCTAAGAGAACTAATAGATGTGTCTTAAAGAGGGTGAAACCAAGCTGCAAGTTGGAGGCAAGAATTTTGAGCCTCCATCTGATATATTTTGATATGTTGCCAACAGGAATCAGTCCTTGGAGAAGGATATCATGCTTGGAAGGGTGGAGGGACAGCACAGGAGAGCAAGACCCTGGATGAGATGGACTTCTAGTATAACTAGAATATTAAGGGTAAATATGTCCGAGACAATAAGAGTTGCTCAGGACAGAGCACGATTCAGAGCTATTGTGCATAGAGTGCTATGAGTCAACTCGATGGCACATAACAATAAGGAAGAGATTGCCCATCTTCTTCCACAGAGCAGCTGGTGGATTTGAGCCATGTGCTTTAGGGTTAACAGCACAATTCCTTATCACTAAGCCACAAGAGCTCCCTTATTAATCTAAGCTAAGGAAATGAAATGGACTGAGGAGTGACCTGGCCAGAGGAGAGAGCTCAGCTCAGTGTGAGGAAGCAGCCACCAAATAGTGCTGACAAGTTGCCAGATTGCCCAATTCCTCAAGAGAAACCAAGTCTACATTATATTTTTTTTAATATGAACTTTCCTGACTTAACGACAGGCAAGAAATTCATTTTTAAAAGACTGTGTAATCTGGCAGATCAAGTGTGTGGGCTGGGAAAGGGATAAGGGCGGGAGCTGGCACACATGCCTAGCAGGTGATAGTGTCATCTGTTGATGCCCTCCAGCATCTGTTCCTCTAGTGATGGTCAAGGATGAGGAATTGATGTAGCTGCCTGGCCAGCTCTCTGTACCTCAGGTATCCTCAAAGCCAGGTACTCAAAGAGAACCTTCTTCTGATCTGAAGAAGGACCCTTCCAAACGTCTAGAAAAGTTCACCCTATGATCCAAAGAGAGTTGTGGACTGACTGGGTTCCATCTCCATGTGAGGCTTAAACACCATAAGAGGAAATACGTGGAAACACTTAACATAGTATCCAGACAAGAAATATTTCTGTCAAAGTAAAGAAGAGAAAGGCGATGAGCCTAGAGGGGTTAAACGAGATCAAATCCCAGTCCTTCTAATTCCATGGACAAATCGCTTCAACTCTCTGAATTATATTTCCTCTGTAAATGTAGACTACAATACCTGCCTTCCCAGATTGTTAAGAGGATTCCACTGAGGGGAAAAAATACCAAGTGCTTTGCAATATCCTATTTCCTTCTTAACTCACATAAAATAAATATTGCTCTGGATAATAAAGCTCTCCACAAGCTGGACTGAGAGAGTGACTGTGACAATGAGCTCAAGCATATCAGAGATTGCAAGGATAGCAAAGGATAGGGCAAGGCTCACATCTGTTATTTGTGGGGTCACCATGAGTTGTGGTCAACTCGATGGCACCTAGTAACATCAACAGATAAGAAAAGTGCACCTGAGAAAGGATACATTACTTGACTTATAGGAGAATTGAGATTTGAACATCTATCTGAGTCCAAAGTCCACTTCTACCTGGCATGCACTTGGAAGACTTACCCATAGAGTTTACCATAAAATCAGCAAGTATGCCTACGTGTTCTGCGTTGTGTTGGATGCTGTGTCAGACTGAAGACACAAATCTGATGAGCTCACTAGCCGGCTTCCTCACAATGGTTCCGCAAAACCACTCCCATGCTGTTCTGGAGGCCATCTAACATAGTGCAAGTCACCCTGGAGTCTTATCTGCTTCTCCTCGTTTACACTCATTAGTTCAATTAATTCTCACAGTAGTCCTTTAATATGGGCTTTATTATCACCATTCATCAAATGAAGAAAATAATGCATGTAGAGGATGGGTATCTTTCCTGTCAAGTCACCTGTGACTCAGAGCAACTCTATGTACAAACAGCCCTAAACCCTGCTCTATCCTGTGCCAATCTCATTTTCTCTGACACACTTACCCCCATTATCCCAGTCACTAAATCAATTCACTTCATTGAGGGTCTTCTTCTCTTGTGTTGTCTCTCTACCCTCCCAAGCACGACATCTCTCTCCAAGAACTGGTCTTGCCTTGCAACATGTCCAAAGCATATCAGAATCCTTGCCTCCAAGGAGAAGCCTGGCTTTACCATCTCCAGGATGAACTTGTTTGTTCTCCTAGCAGTCCATAGTATAAACAATACTTCTCTCCAGCACCATAGCTCAAAGCATCAATTTTCCTTCTATCATCCCTACTCATTGTCCAGCTTTCTGACACACAGCAAGTAATTGCAAAGACCATGGCCTGGATCAGGGCACACCTTAATCTCCAGACTGACATCACTGCTCTTCAGTACTTTGGCAGACTTTCCCAATGCAATTAGTCTTTTTATTTCCTGGCTGCTGGTAACCAAGAGTAACTAAAATTTTTACATTTTTATATCATTTTCTCGTAGGGCTGTCTGACTCCAAAGCCATTTAGGCTGTTCTACAAAAGTCTGGTTTACCACTGCACGTAGACAGTCTTACTATAAACACGTTAAATAGAGGGCCATTGCATGTCATGGACTGCTGAGAAAACAAACATGTCTGTTCTGCAGAGGGTAAAACCAAGTTGCTTCTTGGAGGCAAAGAGTGTGAAGCTCCGTCTTACATACATTGAGCATGTTGACAGGAGGGGCCAGTCCTTGGAGAAGGACATCATGCTTGGAAGGGTGGAAGGTCAGAGCAAGAGAGGAAGACCCTGGAAGAGAAAGACTGACAGAGTGACTGTGGCAATGGGGGCAAGTGTGTCAGAGACAGTGAGCTTGGCTAAGGATAGGGCAGGGTTCAGGGATATTGCTCATAGTGTTGCTATGAGGTTTGACCAACTCCACAGCACATAACAACAACAAACTCTCTACTTATATCTACCTCTTTGTAATAATCTTTCCCCATCTTTCCTTATACAGCAGCATAGGCTGTACATATGATTTTTATGCCATTTAAAATCTGCCTTTCTTTGAGTGGCACAGTTTGCATTCAACCACTAGCCTAAAGGTTGGTGGTTCCAACCCACCTAGCGGTGCCATGGGAGAAAGTCTGGTGATCTACTTCCATAAAATTTCAGTCAAGAAACCCGGTGAAGTTCTACTTGTAAAACATGTGGCTACCAAGAGTCCAAATTGACTAGATAGTGATGAGTGTGATATGCCATTTCTATAATTTAAACTCTATGTTCATTTTTTTTCCCCTGAAAAACAATATCTATGACTGCATGTGTGCAAATACATCAAAAACACACTCCTACTCGCCACATTTATTTATTCAGCAGACATGTGTTTCAGATGCTGTTTTACAAGGCACAGACCCTTAATTATCTGAAGGGAGTCATTGTTATGTTGTTCATATGTGTCATCGAGTTAGAAGCACACAGTTGACTCTCCAGTGGGTTTTTAGAGGCTGTATATCACATGAGAGGAGACTGTCCATCTTTCTCTTTCGGAGCAGCTGGTGGATTTGAACCCCAATGGCTATGAGTTGGCAGTGTAACTTCTTACCACTAGGCCACCCTTACTTGTCTCTGCTCCAAGTTAAACCTGATCCCTTTCACCTCCTGGCCTTTCAGCCATTCCCCAGGATATGATTTCTAGATTCTTCTTGATTACACTCTTAAAAACAAACTAAAAAAAAAAATTAATTTTTAAAAAAACCTCTAAATTCCAATATCCCTCTTTAAATGATCAAAATATATTATAATACTCTAAGTGCC